AAGTCTTCACGTAACAAGTCCATTTAGGAACGCCAAGTAATTACATTATCGCGCACTGCCTATGATAAATAGATTTCTGGCGTATATAAACATAACGGTTACGCATAATAAATTAAAACAATAATACGAGTTTCAAAATTAACCATTACTCAGTCGACAATTACTTTCTTCTTACTTTACAGCATCGCTACCATGCCAGTTAGCAAGTCGGCATCAGAATATTTCGCAGTCAGCTAACGTAAATTGGACATTAAAATTAAAACAAAGCCTCTTCAGACAGACAGACTTGTTGCTTTTAAGCCTGCAGTGCGCACGCTCAAAGTAAGAAAAGATTAAGTACAGCAAGACGACCTCGTACATGCACCGTACACGCACGCAAATGCAGTAGAACACAGCTAGTATTGTCAGACGCAGACAAGACGGGCGGAATCGTGCGTTCTAGAAATTACTAAATGTGGTGCGCATCAACGCGCGAGGAGAGAGACGCGGCAAGGGGAGGAGAGAGAGAGAAGAGAGGAGAGAAAGAGAGGAAAAGAGAGAGAGAGAGAGAAGAGAAGAGAGAGCGCGGTCGCTACGTGTGCGCACAAGAGCGAGAGAAAGAGCGCCAGAGAAAGAGGGATCGAGAGAGTGTGAGAAATAAAGAGAAGGCGAGAAAACGTACGCACGAGAGAACGTGCAAGAAAGAGAGAGAGAGAGAGAGAGAGAGCAGAGAAGGGAGAGAGCGATGTAGAAAAGAGAAGCGAGGGAGAGCAGAGAGACGAGAGAGAGAGAGAGAGAGAAGGAGGAAGAGAGATAAAGACGGATATATAAATTCTTCGTCTCCGCAGCTGCGCAGATGCGTGGCGAAGTATACACGGGCTCTAGATCATTTCGAAGCTGACTGCAGCAAAACAGCGAGATTGATAAGAGGGAGAGGGTAGACAGATGAGAGACAGGCGTAGAGAGAGAAGGAGAGACAGAGAGATGAAGTACAGATAGAGAGACAGAGAGAAGAAGAGAGAAAGAGAGACGGAAGAGAAAGAGACGAGAGAGGAGAGATAGAGAGGAGAAGAGGGGGCAGAGAGAAAAATAGAAGAGAGAGAGAGAGAGAGAGAGAGAGAGAGAGAGAGAAAGAGAGAGAAGAGAGAAAAGAGCCAGACAACCAGCCAGCAGTACATGTTCCGCTGGTGTTCATGTCCCGGGCAGAGTGGGCCCTTTACTCGGTTCTACTAATGACGAAGTTTTGTGATAATTTGAAGCCTGTCCGCTCTCACGGGAGGTAAACGAAGATGCTCTGCTCCAATCGATTATGACTGTGATCGATTATGACTGTGATCGATTATGACTGTGATGGATTATGGCTCTGATGGATTATGGCTCTGATGGATTATGGCTCAGATCGACTATTGCTCTGATAGATTATGGCTTTTGATGATGTAATTCTTCGTCGAACTCAATTTCTCACGCGTCTGGAATGTAGTCGGATCCGCGGAGGCAAGGTGGGCAGACTAGGAGGTCTAAACCATAGAAATCGCAGCCCAAGTCATTGGGCTGCAATTTCTATGGTCTAAACTGCCCGAGCTGTAGTATAGTTTGTGCACACGTGCAGACAGGCAAAGATAGAAAGGCTCAGTATGAAGTAACGATCTTTTCTAACGCGTTATATAGCATGAGGTTATACGTGTGTATATTCGCCATATATAATCATATATCTGACGATATATAATATAATATAATAGAATAGAATAGAATAGAATAGAATAGAATAAAAGAATAGAATAGAAAAATAGAATTAGAATAGAAAGAAAAATAAAATAGAATAAAAAGAATAGAAGAATAAAATAGAATAAAATCAACAGAATAGAATAGATAAATAAATATAATAATTATAGATAGTAATAGAACATAACAGATATATATCTAATATAAATATAATATAAGTTATAAGTATATGTAATATAATATAATATAATATAATATAATACAATATTCAGCCAGACATGATTTAGCATAGAAATACCGCAATAAGAAATCTGAGATCATATCAGACGTGAATGAAAACAAGAGTTTGTTTTAATTAATTCACTCCTGACAATATCTACTATACAATATACTATCGATTTCTGTGGTGAATTAATACAGGCCTATATAGCTGTGTGTTCAAGCCTGTATTCGCTGAAGCAGCGTGTGTAGATTCTGTGAGAAGACGGGAGAATTACAAAGGGCATAGGCTTATTATCGAGTAGATGCTAATTACGATGATCACAGCATGAGGCATACCGACGGCGGTTAGCAGCTATATAGCCATAGTTGGAGTAAACACTACTACCTATACGTGCAGCCGTTTAGCGAACAAATAATAATGTCACTTTGCGTTGGCTGTTGTATTGAAGATGCGTTGCGGCCTGGCATGGGAAAACACACATGAGGTTGGCCATGCATCGAGCAGTTTATGGTGATTTCACACTAGTTGCCCAAATGTATATACCGACGTGATTGCAGTTCTGACTATATCCGCGGTCTATTAATGATCGCTCAGTTCTTCGTTGTGCCTCAATCTGTGGTTAATATCCTCGTCAACCTTTCCTTGTCTCGTGTGATCCAGCTAAAATCCGCGCATAGATAAAAGGAGTATAAACTTGCGGTGATTAAAATCTATCGATGCCCCACGTTCGAAGAATGATAAGACAACTAGGCAGTAAGGCCAAATTACAAACGCACTTAAAATAAACCTCCTTACATAACAGACCAGAGGCCCGTAAGATCATGAAACTTTCACCCCGCGGCGGCGAAACGAACGCATTTTCAAACGAACATCAAAGAGCGCGCATCGTCTGCCGCCGCTACACGAATTTCATCATCGATTAACGATCGTCATAATATTAGATGTGTGGTGACGTCACATGTACGTATCGTGTCGTTGTTCTCATACACAAGTTACGTAACGTTGTGTGACGTCACGAGCAGCTGACCGCGTGTGTCGCGTCGGCATCACCATGGACACCGCGCGTCTGCAAACACGTGCTCGTCGAGCAATGACACGCGTCTACCATTGACCGAGAGCATCGCCACACTGTCGCGGTATCAAGCGCTAATACTACATTATACATTATATATAATACACACCTATTACATATGTTACATAATAATGATATATATATATATATATACTAATACATTATCCATCTTATATAATACACATATTACATATACATACACATATATAAATACATATATTACATGATGCACATATTATTACAGGTATTATTAGCTCTAGGTGGTATAATGCTGCTATATAGGCACCTAGCGCAGAGCGAAGACGACGATGATTCTACATACTAGTTGGTTACAAAAACACGGTGTACGGTTTTTGTTATTGCTAATTCACATGTATATCAATGGCACATGAACTGTAATGTATGTGCTCACTCTCCCCCATCTCTCGCTATATATATCCAAAGCTTTGTTTTTACGCAGTGCCTATGCTGTCTTGCAGAAAATCTACAGAATGCAGTACTACCGCATTCATTGCAGTATTATTTCTTTTCTGCTTTCTTTTCAAACATAATTATATTCATATATCATATTTTGGCCGCGAAAGGAACCTAGGCAATGCCGGCGCTGACTAGTTATATATATCTATATATAGATATATAGATATATATAATGTGTGTGTGTGTGTGTGTGTGTGTGTGTGTGTGTGTGTGTGTGTGTGTGTGTGTGTGTCGTGTCGTGTGTGTGTGTGTGTTTGTGTGTGTGTGAGTGCGTGCGTCCGTGCGAGCGTGCGCGCGCGTGCGTTTGAGTGCATACGACTTGTGTATATGACGGCAAGACGTTGCATTTTCTATTAAACGGATCTACTGCTAAATAATTAATCACGTGAAGCACTAATTATCACTATAGCTCTGAACCATTCCCGCGTGATTATACCCTAATGGTCGGCACCGTACATTTTAATTGCCTCCTTCTTAGCTCTACCGTCACATCACTGCATGGAAGTCCATCAAGAGTCCATAATAGAGATGGACTCTCTATTAGACTCTCTATAGAGATAGAATCTCTACTATGGACTCTTGAAGTCCATGCATGATCATTGATGATGCTCCCGGAGTCCGTCGTCAGTCTGTATCTATCGTGCGCTTCACATGGCAGCATTCGTTTGCTTTGCTCTCCGCTGGATGCTGTCCTTGTTTGTTTAACCGGCTTGTTCGCTGTGGACCTACTTACTCAGGTGCTTCATGGCAAAGAGTTCACACTATTTTTTGCCCTGCCTTCTGGATCCTAAGCCAACTCGACTGTCTAAATAAATAAATAGGTATAGACCAGGTGATCAACGTTAAGAGTTACCAGCCCGTCAATGTATTGAACACGAGATGATAGATCATGTGTTCTTATAACTGTACTAACTTTGTTTAACTGTACTGCATGTGCAATGTTTTCTTTCTTTCCTTGCATCTCGCTAGGGTGCGTATAGGAAACTTTGTTTCGCTCTCCCCTTTTTTGAATCTTTATTATTAATACTATCAGAAGTAGATCATCTACTTCTGATACTATGTAATCTGCTTGCTTTGCCATGCCTTTACGTGTTGTTGTCTCCTGTGTGATAAGTTCCACTGGGGGATTACGAAAGCAGACTTGGTATTCTCCATCGTTTACACGTATTAAAATGTTATTATTGCGTATCTACGCAACTTCACGTATAGTTCATTTCGCTGATGTTATAACTACTATTATACAACTAATAACTATAGCTATTATACTATACTATACTGATACTATACTATAGTTATTATATAACTATAGCTGCTGTTGTAATATAATCGAGATTTTGTAAGGCGATATTCCGGGATGCCGCGACAGGAGCACAGGCACGCAGCCTCTCTGCGGGCGCTGCTGGGAAAAGAGGGCGTGGTTTCGTCGTGATGACGCACTGATTGGCGTCGCGCTGCTCACGCCCCGCCCTCGCTATGCCCATATGGGTACATAAGCAGCGCTGATTGGAAACGAAAACACATGCCAGCGAGTCGGCGAACGAGCGGAAGATTGACGCAAGCGCCCGTTATTAATTCGCGATTTTTGCTTACGTAGTATCTCGCTCGCCCCGCAGACGCACGATGCCTTCGATGCTGGCCATGGTACCCGAGCTGCAGACGCTGCAAGCCTATCACACAATGAACAGCAGCAACCTCAGCGCGACGTCGTCGCCGCTCTCCGACATCACAGCTGGCAGCACGATGTTGGACCTAGACGCTGAGAAGAGAATGGGCAGAAAGCGCAAGTTCAAGGAGGAAGGCGGATCGGCAGCAGCGAACAAGTCGCGGAAGCGTTCGACGCCGCAGAGCTACGAGGAACTGCAGAATCAGCGCGTGATGGCGAACGTGCGAGAGCGCCAGCGCACGCAGTCGCTCAACGAAGCGTTCTCGTCGCTGCGCAAGATCATTCCAACGCTGCCGTCGGACAAGCTCAGCAAGATCCAGACACTGAAGCTCGCAGCTCGCTACATCGACTTTCTCTATCAGGTGCTGCGTAGCGAGGAGATCGACCAGAAGATGGCGAGCAGCTGCAGTTACGTCGCTCACGAACGACTCAGCTACGCCTTCTCCGTGTGGCGGATGGAGGGAGCGTGGCAGCAGCCGCACCACGATCTGCACCACTGAGCGACGGAGGCGGGCGAGCGAACGACGCGCGCGAGATCTCGCCACCTGATGTATATGTAAGTATATTGCGCGCGCTAAGTGTGTGACCATATTTCTAATTCTATTATATTCCTATTCTATCCTATATTCTATTATATTCCTATTCTATCCTATATGCTATTCTATTCCTATTCTATCCTATATTCTATTCTATTCCTATTCTATTTCTATTTCTAATTCTGTTGGGTCACATATTTGTTTCTATGTCATTGGGTGTCTTGCATCATCGTCAATATAGCACGGCACAGGCTCAGGACATTTTAATTGTGAGAAGCCATATTTTATGTAATGGCGGGGTGGCTAGTTTTACTTTTAGTCAATGTTTGAGAACCGCCGTGACAAACAAAACGCGTCATCTCACATCGTTCCAAAGTAAAATAATTTGATGAAGCCCGCCACGGCTACGCGCCCGTTTATAACCTTTACCAAGAGTCTATCATAAAGAATCTCTATTAAGGACTCTTGCCTTTACGTTACTAGCTCTAGTGCACTATCAGGAGTGAATAACGATAGATTATTATCAAGAGCATATTAAGTATAATACGCTCTCTATCTGCTCTAGTACTATAGCCCGCGTACAGTTGCCGCAGGCAGCCTGCGGAAACTGTATACGCGTGCTATAGTACTAGAGCTAGCTCTCTATACATACTTAATACGCGCTTGTTATTATCTATATTTGTTAGATATATAGATATTTAGATATCTATTATTATTTACTCCTGGTACTATAGTACTAGAGCTATTACGTTACACGATGTAACCCCCCCCACCTCACCACCACCACCCCCACCACCACCCCCCACCACCACCACGCCTGTACTATACGTCGTGCTACGACGACAGGGATAAAAGAGGAGTTCGGTTTATCAGGCGGCACGCGCGCGCTCTGTAAATGCGTTCAAGATGGCAGCGAAGCCGTGACGCCTGCGATGTGTGCGGGTCACGCACGTGTACACGCACACACGCGCTGAACTGATCAACAGCTCATTCAATTAACGAAGGCTGATGGCGTCACTGTGGCGCCGCAGCGTAGATAAGTCCTATTTGTTGCGACGGTCATTATAGCGTTTTAACTAATTTCGTTGCAAGAAAATCCGCTCTGATCTGGTTAAAACGCCATCATGGCAGACGATCGAGTGCCATGACGTCATGTCTCGTTGTTAATTTTGAACGCGCTTTGTTTCGTACAGTAACTACGCGAATGCGTTATAGCTTCTGATAAAATGTCTTTTTATTTTTTTTCGACAATTTCCTTGCGACTCAACGCCATCTTCTTTTATGCCGAGTTATTTCAATAATAACGTGAATATATAAATAAATGACACACCCACGCGTGCGCGCGCGCACACCGCCCCCCACCCACCACACACAAACACACACACGCGCGCACACGCCCCCAACACACACAAACATACATACACACGCGCACACGCACAGGCACACGCACACACACACACGCACGCACGCACGCACGCACACGCACCCACCCGTGCGTGTATATATGTATAGTTTCATATAAAGTATAATAAACGTAGTCGATTTTAAGGCGTAAGCGCCGCATAACAGTAATATATCGCGTAACTGTCAACGCATTACTACTGCTAGAGCGTGACTGTGACCAGGAGATGTACGCGACGACGCGATGTTGTTGCATAAATCAATGCAGCAGTAATCGGCGAGAAGTTTCAATATTGTGACATCTGAGCTAATCGTAAAGCGCGGGTAAAAGCCAGCGCTGTTTTCATACGCCGAATCGAATGGACAAATTAGCGACCATGGGCGTCCGGCAGTTTCACACCGGGGTCAAATGCGCTCTGAAACGAAACACTTGCCACAACACAAACATTATACGGTCGTACAAGCGACTTCTCTCAATTCTCTCGAGTTCTATATATTAAGTTGTCAGCGACTTCTGCCAGAGTTGTTGTCTTTATTTGGGCAAAACAAATCCCCGGCTGTTCTGTCCGCTCTCGTTTCCCACGCGTTGCATGCTAATAGCCGACCGTGTATCGGCGTAGCAACGTCAGCCTCCCCTCCTCCTCCTCATCCTTCTCCTCCTCCTCGCCCATCGCGACTACTCCACAGAGAACTTGTTGTGTGTATTTTGAAACTCTAACCTCGAGTAGGTTTGTCGCTGCTTATATGTATGTGTATATGCTACATGTTTGGTGCGGTCGCGGCACAGCTAGGAGAGTTGTCTTTACTGGGAAACGTTCATGGTTTTGTAGAGTGTGAAACCAAACCTTCACTACAAATTTCTCGGTGATCTTTCTCACTGTCACGTAGACCGGTTTCAAAAGACCGCGCGCGGGGGTGAGCCCGCGAACACCGCAGCTGACGGCGTCAGTCTAATCGTCGCGGACAATGTAGATACGAGACTTCGTAACGACTAGGCGCGTGGTGGTGGGTTTCTGAAACAATATCTGCGTAAACTCCCCCCTCCCTCCCTTCTCAAGCTTTTGCCAAAGCGTTCTGAAGATGGGTGTTTGGTTTCGGCGTGCCTGGCTACGAGGCGTGATATAGCGCGGCATTATCTGCAGTGATGTTCCGATATCTTGCTGTGAATTGTTTGTGCGATGAGCTTGCGTATAAACAGCGGCATTCGCAAGGACTTTGCAGTCGCCTGCTGCCAGTGCGTGACACCGCTGCTGATAACGACAGCGAAAAGCCACGATATGCGGTCTTTTCGGCTCTTTTAATCATTTACGCATATAATCAGGAGTGTATAGTAAAGACTCTATATTATACACACCTGATATACTTTCTCGCGTCACTGCTTCGATAAGAACAACGTTCAGTTTCAACGTATATTCGTATTCTAATCACGTTTTCTTATCGCTTCTTCCAGATATTACCCCGTGACGCGCTGTTATGTATCGTACAAGATCCGGTTCATTCGAGTTGACAGTTCGGCCACCGAGACGGTTACTTCACTCAAGTCCCAAGCAACAGGCGCCGTGATCGGTCCACGCACGCACGCACGCACGCCCGAACACTGCATGGTCTGTACGTGCCGAGGCGTGATGAAATTCGGCACTGCCGCCGCGTAGACGGGAACCCTACGTCGCTGACCGGCGCCAGGCTAGCTCGCGACGACGTGCGGCGTCAGTCTAACCACCGCCTCGCTAATTCTGTCGCCAGTCCGACAGTCGCCACTGCCGCTGCCGGCTACCCAGTGGTCAGAGGTCATCCGCGTGAGATTAGCAGCGTCGCGACACGGCCTATCACCTCCTCGGCTCGCAGCCGGAACCTGATAGGGCCGAAGCCGACGATTGCGTAGACGGCGGCACAGTGCATCTCCGCCTTCGGCTAAAATGAGAAGTAAAAACGTGCGCACACGGGATAGCGTACAAGCTCGGTAGTACAGATAGTGCGATAATATTCCGTATTGTTTTGGCATCAGTTGCGCATATGTGCCAATTGTTATAAAAATTTCTATCGTTTCGAAACGAAATTATGATGTAGAGAGCAACGTGTGGGATTTTAAACGACAGAAAGGCGTGCCTTAGTCTTGTTTTCTCTAAATTTTTCGGCAAAAGAGTTGGTGAAGTGGATTTTAATACTCGTTATTGTATGCGATGCATTGTTATCAGTTGTCTGTGTAAATATATAGGATTATACCTTTTTTGTTGACACTGAATTCGAGATGGTGCTATTTTTGTTGTATATATATATATCTAATATTTGGCATTGATATAGAAGACAAAGTTAAACTGTATATTATAGGAAGTTAATCTCCCCGAACATGCTGCCGAGGAGTTTCGATTATATTTTTCGATATGAAAATATCACACTTAATTCTCCATTATTTCTACCAGGAATCACACGTTAGACCTCTCTTATCTTGCGTATTATGTAGAATGTGTTTATCTACGTATATAAAAAGTAGCATCCCGTGGATAACACGGAAGTTATCTATATGGCGATAAAAAAAACATCAAGTGAAACGTCTTTCTTCGTTGTTGTGTTGAGGTCACTTCGCAGCGAGTAGCTGACGCCGTGACAAGTATTATAGGCGCGTGAGTTCCCCACATGCACTATCCTCACGCGTTGTGCGATTGTAGTGCTGTGCCAACGTCATCGCCTATGCGATGTTTTTGTGTACGGTTTTGTGTAAAACACGATACTGCTCTCCGATACCCTATATATACGTTTTATAATAAACAGATAAACAGTACATATAATCGCGGCTTTGTTTTATACAGTCATGGCGTTGTGTTACTTCATCTATATTACAACCGCAGATCCGCATGTCTCTACCCCTGCCCCTCGCACTTCTATCAAACGCATTGCTTCATCCTAGCCTCTCCTTTCAGGAGATTCTAAGGGAGTGTGCGCATGTGCATGTGCGTGTGAGTGTACGTGCGTACTTGCGTGCCCGTGTGTGTGTGTACGTGCGCGCGCCCATGTGTGGGGACGTATGCGCATCCCTTTGCGTGCGCGTGCGTGCGTGCATGCATGCGCCCGCGTATGTGAGCATACATGTATGTAGCCTCTACTATCCGAATAAAGAAACACTACCGCGATAGACGGAGATGCCCATTGATACATGATATCAAGAGTACATAATAGAGATATCTATCATGTATGTCTATAATAACATCTCTATTATGTACTCTTGATAATATCAAGAGCGTATAAAAAAAGGATATTATACCTTCTTTATATACGCTCTTAATAATATACGCACTCTCGCGCTTTATTCATATGTGGGCACGCGTGTTCATATATGCGCGTACGTACGTGCGTGCGTGTGTGCAATTGCGCGCGTGCGTGCGCCCGCGTATGTGAGCATACGTGTATGCAGTCTCTAATACCCGAATAGTGAATTCTGTTTCGGCCGGGTGTCGTGGCGT